CAGAATTCCACAGCTAATAGATCAAGTAGCTGAACAGCGGAATAGATGCAATAACTCTCGCTTCTAACACTGAATAACTTTTCTGATACTAAACTAACTGAACACACCCTGAACTGAATCGTTAATTGAATACTCGTTGAATTATATCTTAACTGAATAACTTCCGTTGAATCACAGAACTAACTCAATCATTACTCACTGATTCACTGCTTAACTTACTAACTGACTGACACTGAAGTGCATTACTCATTGAATACTCATTCATTATTCATTGATTCACTCTATACTTTATTCGTATTTATATCATACTCGCCTTCTTCTCACTACACGAATTTTTCAGAGCATGACAACACATGCCTTCTAGCATTCATCTAAGTTAGAATAAAACTTGCAATATTGCTCCCCTCCTGAATTGTGAAGTCACTTGAACAATCCGGATACATAATAAAAATTACACTAAGCTGTCCATTTAACAAATCTCTTTGGAGGTTTTCTTTTCCAAGGGTTATGATATACAGATGGAATGACCTTTTTTACATTTTCGTCACATGCTGTCCTGTCACTAGAGCAGTTTTCCCTGAGAAGATGATCGAGTGAATCTATAAGTAGCTCTATTCTTTATGATCTTCTGAAAGTGGTCTCGACATGAATCCTAGGGTTTTTCAGGGGTTTGAACTTTTGCTTGCAAATCCTTTTCTGTAGTTACCCAGTTGACTGTTCTCTCATCAACGTATTTTCAAAGACAATTACAATAGATGAGTTTGACTTGGACTGGTCCATCAAGATTATTTAAATTATAAAATTGATTATTTTCAAAACATATGGCCATCCAAACACCTAATTAACTATGGAGTCCACCCTTTCGTGTGAAAAGAATTGTTTAGGCATACCTTGTCATTTCAATGAAATACAGTCTAATTGGCATTAAGATCGTGTATGTTGATATTTATTCTTCAGATTCACGAGAGTTATTCCAACCATCAATCTATCATGACATGCCAGAATGTTTGTTTATACAATGCCCCAGTTATTTTTTCCTTATAACTCCTTGTATAAGTATTTCACTTTTTGGTAGTACAATGACCACCCTCCCTGTTGTTACTGGAAACTCAACCTCTGATGTAATAATTGTCATGTACACAGAGATATCCTGGTCATGGACTATAAAGCTATTTGAAGCTAGCCTATTCTCACATCTACGCCCCTGCATGAAGTCACTTGCCAATAAGCATCTTTCCTTAGTGTTAGTACTCATATGTCATGAAATGTATAGAAGCTTCCAACTGGTAACTTCCAACTTTTCTTTTGCTGGAACTTTATGTCTACTTGCTTTTCAGATCAATTCCTTTTCTTTCATTACCAAATTGAGTCAAACTATTGTATTTGTAAAACAAGTGTTGATCAACATAAATGCAAGGTTTTCCATCAATAAATACATGAATTCATGGACATTTTCCCTCAAATAATGAATTTCTTATCTAATTTAGGGTAGAAGGAGTATTCATAGCTGAACATTATCCCATAATTCCAGCTAATTCCTATGTGTTTTATTTTATATCTGATTAGCTCTTTGTTGTTCCTTTGATCTGATTGAGCTATCGTTGGCTTAATGACATCTGTTGGTTCATTATAGTCTCAGTTGTAATGGCCATGTTTCTTACAGTTATAAGAGTCCCCTTTTCTGACATCCATTGAAAGGAGTTTTATTCCATACAGGCTATAATATACAGTTCCTCAAAATATGTCCCTTCAAGTTACACTTAAAACACTTATTGTCTTGTGACTTATTTCTTCCATTCTGAGTAACTATCTATTTAACAAATAATTTCAGTTCTTCGAGATTATTGTCAGATGATGTTGATGTTTTAATATATTGCTTGATCTGATAACTATAAATTGTATATGTTGCTTTTAGTTGTTTATCTTCACCTTTAATGGATTCAAGTTCCCTGCCAACTGCAGAGCTTCCTTTAAAGATGTGCATCTATTTTTCTTCAGCTTAGTTCTCATATTCTCGTCTGTTATGGCATTTATGAATTGGTCATTTACCAAAAAATTCATCACTTCACTTGGAGCTTCCAAGAAAGATGACTGGGCAAGCCTTTCCAAATATTCTGCAAGTTTGTCTAGGTTTCTTCTTTCTTCTGCATCATATTCCAGATCTTTGCTTTGGATTCTTCCCTCTGGTCTGTCACTTTGAACTTATTGGATAAGACAGCTATCAATGCTTGATAGTTGTTACAGCTCTAAGCTGTAATATTGGTTAATTTTGTCAAGGCTGGCCCTTTTAAATGGGCTGCAAGATGAACATCTTGCTGTTCCCTATTCCACCTGTTCACTCTGGAAATTATTTCAAACTGAACCTGACATTCTCTTATTGTGTCATTCCATCTCAGTCTGATGATTTTTTGATTGAGTGATGTTGCTGAATTTCCCAGCTAAATTCTGTGAATGGATTTGGTGGTGACATAGCTGGAGTATTCCAGGAAAGCTCAACAGTAGTGGTAACAGGTGTGAACCAAGTAGTTTCTCCTATTCCACATTTTATAGTAAATGGTGTTTTAGATTGGGAATCTTGGACAGATGCAGAAAGAGGTACGGCTAGCTTGATCTTTGCATTTAACAATTCATTTTCTGAATGTTTTATTCTGTCATTGATTTTTCTGTTTATTTCTTTGATTTTTTCATTACAGTTTTTCTGTACTTTGTTGATGTCTTTTTGTATTTCTTTAATTTTTTCATTACCACCTTTCTACTTGATTTTTTTTCACAATTTATTTTGGGCTTGTTGTTGTTGTAACCCCTCTGTACATTTTCAGTTGCTTCATCAACATTGTCTTCAAACATACTTATTTGTGTTCTTAATTCTTATTTAAATATTTCTTCTTTACATTTTAACTCTTTTTTCAAATTACTGTCTCATTCATCTTATTTTCTTGATATTCTCTAATTTTTTGTCTCTTTTTTTCTTGAGGTTCTTTAACTGTTTTATCATCTTAGCAAAATTTCAAGCTTACTTGTGTTCCTGTTGTCATCTGGAAATTTTAGTCAAAGTTATATTTTATTTTCGCCTAATTAATCCCACTTCTGGCACTAATGTTGTAACGTCGAGCTGATTCTTTTAGATTATTTGGGGAAAAGTAATGCCAAATTCACGTCACAATAACAAATTAATTTATTCATTCAATAAATGTTTACTACAGTCACGTTACATGTCAGCCTAGTTTCAAATGCATAAACTCTTAAATGAATTCCAAAATGAATGAAGAAATAACTTATTAGTAGGATTTTACAGCTAATCAATCGAAAAACTGAATAGCAGAATAGACGCGATAACTCTTTCTTCTATATCGCTGAATAGCTTTTTTGACACTGAATTATCTAATTCATTCTGAACTGAATAACTTTCATTGGATCTTAAAATTAACTCAGTCAATAGTCAATGATATACTGCTTAACTTACAAACTGATAGACTCAAATGAATTAGTCGTTGAATCCTCAATAACTTATTAACTGCTTATTCATTACTCGGTGATTCACTTCTTCACTTTACTCATATTTATAGCGCACTTTCTTTCTACTCATTATACAAATTCTGTAGTTTATAATATCCTGCGCTTTCTAGCAAACACCTAAATTAATAAATTAAAACATTGAAAATAAAGCTTACGACAATATTTTAAATAATGAGTACAATCTAAGAAGAGAGCTTTAACCATTTAAGTCATCTAGGTTACTGTACATACCAATTTTCAACGTTGATTCTAGTATACTTAAGAAGGAAAGTAAAAAAAAAAAAGTTGAAACATAATTCAGTGAAGATTTTAAGGTCATGAGACCTGAATATCTATTTCGGTTTGCATGCATCGAAGTTTGTAGTTTTACGACTTTGTGTTTACGATTATGGTATTTTTATTGCATGTCGTATTTTTTATGCAAAAGCTTGTGAGCTGCATCTAAATTTTCTAAAATCGTTTTTTTTTGCTGTCTTTAGTTCCCTAAAATCTATGCTTCGCCCCTCCCCAACTATAAAGTAGTCGCGACGACTAGCTGCATGAAAATAGCAGTTGCAAGCAGTATGCCATTATTACTGTTATTTCTCATCTGTTCAACTAGATTGTCACATCCCCGGTGGCTCAGCATTAAGTTCAAAGCCTTATTACCCTAAAAATCGGGTTTCGATGTTCGCTGTGGCTATAGTAAAGATAAACCATTGTGTAGTTTTCTGCTTAATAATAAACGAACCAAACCAGCTATGTTGAATTTACAGATTGCCATCAAATGTGGCATTATGTGATCTAAGGTGAGGAAAATGGCTGATGAGAGTATTTGTTGATCGAAAATGCAGTTTTCAGATAATCATGTTGTGGCTTAATGTGAGATAATATTTTCTTGTTTTACAGCTCACAATACTGAGAAATGAAGAAAATCTGAATGAAAAATTTAGCTTAAAAGCTGAGAAACACCAGGCTTTCTTTTAGAATTAAAGAGCATAAAGTGTATATTACAAAAAAAAAGAAACAAAAGCAAAAACACCACTTTATATTATCATTTTGAAATGTCATAAGCTATTTCTTCATTATTGAAGTATAACAAGAAAAAATGCGAATCTTGCATAAATATCACTTCTGTAAGAATAAATCATTTGTACCGTTGAACATTGTATTATTACAGAAAAAAAAATAACAGCAAAAACATCGTTTATTTTGAGCAGTGTCTACATTTTTCGTCAAATATAGGGAAAATTGTCATTAGATGTTATTTCCCGTGTTTTGTCCATTATTTTTTCCCTTTTATAGATTAAAACATTATCAGAAACAAAGCCAAATATTCAGTTACAATATGAAGATTTTATTACTGTTAGTGATAAAAAAAGACGTGTGATTGTGACGTATAATGTGGACGTGTGCCGTTGGTAGCTCATTCTGGTTTTTGTTTTGATGATTAAACGATTTAACAAGGGATGCTGGGAACGAGATTAGAGCATCACATCCGTCAACGCAGGCAGATTGGGAGGCTTTCATCTAACGTTTTCTGTGATATTGTGTTTAAAGCTTAACAAATAGTTTTCGTTTGCTTTTAATGCACGCTATATAAATATTTTAAGTTCTGTTTTCTAATTCTACAAAAAGAGGTATATGCTATGAACTTTTCTTTATCTGTGTGAATATTAATTTTATCGATATAAACGAAAATGGCATGAACGTACTGAAAACAGAATACTCGCTGATTAGTGAATACAAATTACATTCACTGAATCAGTCACTAGTACTACTACTACTAGTATTACTATTACGCTTCTACTATTAAAATTATTAAATTAATATTTACTAGTACGAACCACTGTTGCCACTGCTACTAGTTCCACCAGTATCGAGTTAAGCTAAATATGATAAGATACGACAATTACTACAAGGTAAGTCTATATAATTTATTGTTTCATTTTTGAAATATAACTGGATCCTTCCATAGCTAAACGGCAATTTTTATTAACTTGAGGCTCTATTTTATCACCATCAGTTCAAAATTAGAAATGATTAGCACAGATAGCCTTTGTGTAGTTTTGTACGTATATCTAAAACAAACACAACCAAAAATTTAGAAACCAGTTTTTAAATGCTGTATAGAACTTCAAAATTACAGTGTCAAATAATGAAAATTTCAGTGAAATAGGAACATATTACATTGCCATCAATCAAGAGATATCCAGTGAGTGGTAATGAACAGAGCAAGACTTAGTATTTTAAGTAATTAAAAAGATCATCACTAACAAATTAAATATAAATTTTATAAGATGAAGTATTCAATTAAAATGATTGGTGTATATATAAAGAAATGATTGGTGTGTGTGTGTGTGTATGTATATATATGTGATATTTGTTTAGATATATATATGTATTTGATATATGTGTGTGTGTATGTATGTATATATATACACGCATATAATTTTTTCTATAAACATAAGGGTGGGATACTGTAGTTTATATGTTTAAAATTTTTTATGTTTTAATCTTTCTTCACACCCAATGTTAGAATAACTGATCAAGGAAAGTGGAAGAAATACTGAAGATCAACTTTGCTTTAGAACATTGTTTTCTTTAAAAAAGTGTGCTTTTCTTTCTTAACATTGTGACACAAAATTTAGCTGTAAACCTGTGCAACTAAAAATTTAACCATATGAAAACAATTTCAGTTAACTAAAAATTTAATTTAAAATATGAAAACTTACTTTATTTAGTATATGTTACAAGAGTATTATTTCAAATCCCTACTGCACTGAATGTGTCAACCCTTTTCAAGTTTTGAGTTTCACAGTTCATATTCATATACTTTAGGGTGGTTCATTTTGAAAATTGCAATATCTAGTATAGAGGAAAGCCTCATACAATCCTTGAAAACACTTGGCAGGTCAAGTTCTAAGATATGATTCTGACATGTCAAGTACAGAGTTTTGTTTAAAATCAATGTTGTTTGCTTTTATGTCAAAGCAAACTGCCTTTATATGATCATTGACTCCCCACTATTTAAGCAAATGTGCCTCTGCAGAAGCTAGAATCTTTCTAGTCTAGGAGTTGGTTTATTGCTGCTCTATCCAGGATCACAGAAAGATGATCTGCTTGTTCTTTCCCTGTGAGATCATTAGAGAGCTTCCTATCCCAGTGTAGACTGTTGACTGGAACTGTTCCTTCAAGTTTTTGACAAGTTCTTCACAGAGATTTTCAGATTGAGGAATTGTTGATGGTTAGCTCCTGCACATCATGACCAAGGCTGTCAGCTGTGACAGTAAGGACAATTGTTGCCTTTCTACAACTCAACTTGGTTTTATCAACAGCTGTTGTTAAATTGGGAGTGATGATATTTCTTATTGCCCTCTTTTTAGGTTTAGAAGATGATGGTTCTCCAATTTCTCCTCTATCCTCATTACTGTTATAGTTACTGTATCCACCAACCTCATCATCATTGCTGTGGGATGATTTCAAAAAACTGAGAGTTTGATTGAAGGTCTGCTGTTTCCTGTCTATAATTGCTTCATTTATTTTTTAGCCCTTGATTCCTTTGAAAGAAAGAACGTTATCTTCTTGGCCCATGCATCCAAAATGTCTTCTTTCCCTCTGAGCAAGAAGAAAATCCTTGTTTTCTGGGATCTTGATCAGAGTCAGGACAGCCCTATGAGTGATGTCAAATAGTTCTCATTGAGGTTATTGGGAAACTCTGCCTCATTAGTTCACTGTGTTTTAGCATTTCTTTTTTAATGTTTCTTTAACTTTCCCAATTTTCAAAAAGCTTCTCCAATTTGATAATGGCATGATGTTCTGGACAAATTGGAATTCAAGCCTTGTTCCAAAAAGCTGCAGTCTCTTTGATCACAACCTTTGAGCATTCACAGCTATCTTCTTTAATATTTTGTGATGGTAGGAAAACACACAAACACAGCAGTTGCCTTTTTGAAGATAATTTACCTCCTGTTAGTTTAGTTTCTTGTGACACATGCAGCCAAAGTGTAGTCTTACTTCTTGTTGCAGTATCCATTTACATTGATACACTAATATAGTGTCAGCTGAAGTGATACATAAGAATCTGCTTAAGTACTTATATAACCTCAGAGAAATTCTAGAAACTACTGTTATACAGAATATTACGGAAGTAAAAAAGTGACAGCATGGGTTATTTATATATAAAATGTTCTTGAACATTCTGAATACTGTGGAATATTTCTGAGTGTACTAGAATATTTCATAATAATATGCTAGAACATATCAGATAAATTTATAGCCTTCCAGAATTATTTAAAACATTGTGGAATATTCAGAATATGCAAATGTAATGCGAGCTACAGATAAAAATTTTAACTACCTTGAGCAACCCCTGAATGTTATTTAATATGGATAAAATTTGGTGTGAATTATTTGTTCTTTATATTGAAAGAAAATGAGGGAGTGAGAGTGTTGTAAATTTTCAAAAATAAGGACCATTCTGACATATGTTGTAGGGTGGTTGGCTGAGAGAAAGCAAAAATTGTTATTAATGGAGTCCAGTCAAACTGGACCCTTGTTACCCGTGAACTGCTTCAGAGGTCAGCGCTAGGGAATTTGCATATTTGCATTTATATTAATGATTGATAGGAGTATAATTAGTAAAACTTGCGGATGACAATAAACTTTTGAGTATTTCTAGCTATATTGAGAGATGTTGAGGCATCACAGAGTAATTTGGAAAATGGACAGATATTTGGCGATTGACCTTTAATTATAGTAGTTGTAAGGTTATGCATTTGGGTTATAATTTGGATCTCATGCTAATTACATCATATAATACAGATATGAAACTACTCAATAGTGTGGTTGAATGGGAGAATCTTGACTCTGTGGTGGATAAGTTGTTCAAACCAGTGAGGTGGTGCTTTGTTGTTAGTTGTAAAACACAGTGTAAAGATGTTTGTGTAGACTTATTGAATGCAAATCAAAAAAGATAATTATTTCTTTATACAAAACACTAATTAGGCCTCATAATATGCAAACAACATTTGGTCCTTTAATGTTATTGCTTGAGAAAAAGTAGACACTTAAACCCACACTTTATTTTTTGGGAAATTATTGGTTTCCTTCTTAAGCTCTTGTAAAGCTTCCAATACAGTTGACAACAATGCATTCCATAAGTTAAATACACTGTTAGAAGAATAAATGTTTAACTAGTCTTTCTTTTCCAAAACTTTTCTATTGTTGTTTTCCAAATATATTGTATAAAAAAGAAATTAGACAATTTTGTCCTATTGTCTCCTGGATAATCTTGTAATCCCCAATAAGATTGTCTTGCCCTTTTTTCTCAAGAAAAAATATACTAAGAGACCTTATCCCCCCCCCCCCCATAAGATAACCCTTTTATTTCTTGAATCGTTCCTAGTATAGTATTTGTCTGTAACCTTTCCAATAAATCAATATTATTTTTTAGATAAAGAGATCAAAACTGCACACAGTATTCCAAGTGAGGACTAACAAGTCATGTGTATAGAAATAATTACCCTATTTTAATTTATAATAAATTTGTCCATAAATACACCCTAAAGTTCTACTAGCTTTGCTTGTAGCAACAGACCACTTCCTTGATGGCTTGAATGACACACACACACACACACAACTATTCCAAGATACTTTTCTTCAGGCATGCTATTAAGTGGGTTACCATCTATATTACACATGATCCAAATTATTCATGATATTAGGAAAATATATACATTTAAAAAATCAATTTAATTAAAATATACAGTACCCTATAACTTGAGTACTTTCTAAAGGTGGACCTTTCTTTTTTCAGGGGCAAACTAGGAATGGTCCAAATTATGATACACCAAGTGCATTATTTTGCACTTACTATCATTAAAGTTATTGACCAGATGTTTATGTAACATGAATGGATTAATGAGATTCCCACTGTCATTTTTCTACTATCTAGCGAAACCACAGCCAAGGGAACGGGCTTGGAAAAATCGGCACTTAGGACTAGAAACGTGGAACCTGCGGTCCGCTCTCCGCTTCATTATTTTGCACTTACTATCATTAAAGTTATTGACCAGATGTTTATGTAACAAATCAATTGATCTAAGTCATTCTGTAGTACTTCAACATCCTCAATACAGCTAAAAATTTCAAGAGTTTAAAGTCATCTGCAAACTTTACTAACTTATGCCCCTATCAGTATCATTCATGTAAATAAGAAAAAGCAAATGCATAAGCACTGACCCCTTCAGGAGGCATTATATGAGTAATAAGAGTCCAGTTTGAATTAATTTCATTATTATTAATTTGTTTTGCTCTCTTTTTCTGAACTATCCCACAATCTAATTTACTAGTCTTTCCACATCCTCCACCAATGCAGTTTTCTTGACTGTTCTTTTGTGTGGCACATTTTGCCACCTTATCAAGGCATTTTGAAAATCTTAGTACACCAAGTCCACATCCATTCCATCATTCAGTTAACGAGTACAGTAATAATATACCTTAAAAATGTTCATTTGAAATTAATCTGACTAAAATGCAAAAATGAACTATTATAAGTTTTAAATAATACCAAAATAACATTTATCTTCTCATCAAAGGTTATATTTTACAGGTGGTTGTAACTTCTCTGTTACAGAGCTTTCAAAATTGTTTTGTTTATTACTGAACTGCTCCCTCTAATACTACAATTTTGGCTTCCTTATATAAGGAAGGATATTGACTTACTGAAAATGATTCAGAGGAGTGCTACTAGGATAATTTCAGGGGTGGAAAGGCTTATCGCCTGGGGACAGGTTAAGATCTCTTTACTTTTCTTTTTAGAAGAAAGGAGTGAGAGGTTATTCTTTGAAGTTTACAAGATTATCTGGGGATTGACAGGAAAATGCCTCTGATTTTTTGTGCTATACTCCAAAGACTAGAA